TTTCCCATTAAAAAAAAAAAAAAAAAAAAAAAAATTGATAAAACTAAAGTGCTGAAATGTCAGACACGAACAAAGTGTGCATTGTTCTAGTCCACAGTGGAGGAAAAATGCAGCTCATAAAAGAGTGGTTAAAAAAAGGCAACACGTCCACAAGGAGACAAGCCAATTCTTTTCGCCTCTCATTTAGTACTGTTTAAGTTCTTCACGTAGGCGGCGTGGTGCTTGCTGTAGTGGTATTTCACCGATTCTTCACTGAGGAAGGGAGACATACTTTGGGGGCTCTGAAAGGACGGTAATGGTTTGTATATGGGGGCGTGACGCTAGCGAGCACAACACGAGCAATATGAGCAAGTGAATATGCGCTAGCCTCCCTGGCCGCAACTGCAGTCACTCTTGCAGTGACTTTTTCATTCACTTGTGCTCGAGTGAGGATGCATGTATTACGAATGGAAGCTTCATTAAGGAGAAGGGTTTGGACTCCCACAGGGGTTTGACTCCCCAGCTGTCATAGAGCATGTCGTCCGTTTTGGATGCACACTTGGACTCATGTTTCACTTCAGATGGCCGACCGAAGAAGGACAGGTAGCCCAGCTTGCCGGTTCTTTTGAGTCCTCGAGCTACTGCGGTGGGGGGAAGCAAAGGGGAAGAGAGAAAAGGCGATAAAAGAGGTGATAAAAGAGGCGGTGAAGGGGGGCCATGCTTCACCAAGCACAACACATAAGTGCTGCCGCGCAATAACGTACACACACGGATTCGCGACTAATCGGTGATGACCAACGAGTGGCCTCGCTTAGAACCTCTCAATATCCCCTGTTCCAGAAGGAAAAAAAAACAAAAAAAAAAAAAAACTTTAAATTCAGCCATTTTCAAATCCTCATGAAGTACAGAGTTGTAATGCATAGCATTTTGTGAGAACGATCCTGTGGGATGAGAGGGGGGGGATGAACTAAAATTCACATCCGACGCAGAGAATAAGAAGAATATTTTTTTAAAAAAAATGTAGGTGAGGGTGTAGCGCCTTTCATCGTTGCATATTGTGTTTCTACTTGGTGTGGCAAAATTGTCAAACCATTTTGTATCCCCTCTAGGGATGATTAATTTCGGCCACCATTTTTTACACTCATTTTGCAAAGTCATGTTTTTTTTTTTTTTTTTT